GGTTGTTGTTGGTTGTTCTGGTTGGTTGTTGGTTGTTCTGGTTGGTTCTGGTTGGTTCTGGTTGGTTGTTATTGGTTCTGGTTGCTCCATCCTGGCTGCATCAGTCATAGGGTTTTCTTTTTATCACCTTCCTTCATCTGTTTCTGGTCTGGTGTCCATGCTATTGCTCCCAACAACTTTAAAATCCATCGGTGGCAGCTGCCATCGTTACTGCTGTAAACTGAGTGCTCAGTTCTTCTTCTGTGGATCGGAAACTGTTCACACAGAAGTCTGACTTGGTTTAACCAGCAGGAAAAATTCAGATTTCAGCACATAATCATTGAACATAAAAACCTGCTGTGAGAACGGAGCCGAACGGAACAAACTGATTTCTTCATCAAAGCTCAGTCAGGATCAAAACTGGTCCTCTAGAGTGAGAACCTGATTCTAGATATGAGATTAACTCTGATATGAGTTACTCTCATATCAGAGTGCGAGCACTCGATACAATTCACAAGAAGCTTCAAACGTTCTGAGATGTTTAGGAAGAAAAGCCTGCAAGACGAAGAGCTTTAACCACATGTACACACACACTCACACACACACAGCGCGTCTCTGCACTGCTCGCAGGGTTTGGCCTGACCTCTGCTGTTCAATCGATGCGGTCGCAGGAGTCGTCTGTCTGCTCAACTACCTGCCCTGCAGCTCTCTCTCTCTGTCTCTCTCTCTCTATCACACACACACACTCAGTATGTTGCTTCCTGAGCAGGACCAGCCAGCGTGTCCAACCTGCAGCTCACTGGATCTCAGTAACTTAAACAGAACCGGGGCGCACATGATAAACTGTACTAACTACAAGAAAAACAACAATAGTAATAATAACAATATTAACAATAACTATATACAAAGTCGGCCTTCTGTGACCTGAAGAATCTCCAGGATCAGAGGACTGATGTCTCAGATCAGAGAAACTCATCCAGGCGTTTATCTTCAGTCTCATTGTTTCCTGCAGCAGCGTCTCCACAGGTCTGTCCACCAAATCGATCCTCCAGCTGCAGCTGATCCAGAAGCTGCTGCTGCTGTTCTGACTAGAACCAGGAAGATGGAGACATAAGACCAGATCTACAGTCCTACAGCTGTAGCTCAGAGAACAGACTGTAAAATCCTGTTAGTTTATAAATCACTGGACGGTTTAGCACCACAACACATTAAAGATCTGCTGTTGCTGTACCAACCGTCTAGACCCCTCAGATCTTCTGGTTCTGGTTCTGCTCTGCATCCAGAACCAGAACCAAACGAGGAGAAGCAGCATTCAGTTTCCATGCACCACAGATTTGGAACAAACTTCCAGAAAACTGTAAAACAGCTGAAACACTGAGAGCCTTTAAATCTCAACTTAAAATCCACCTGGTTAGTTTTATTTGAAACGTGATTAATTATGAATTTATTGATGGCATCGACTTAATGTCATGTTTTGATGGTTGATTCAACGCTACATGACTTTGTGTTTTTGTGTTTGTTATGATGAAAAGCACTTTGAAATGTCTTCCTGCTGAAATCTGCTGTACAGATCAAATTTGATTGATTCAAAGAGACATTCTAGTGCAGGGCAGTGCACTGCTAATGTTTATGCTAATGCTGATATTTATTTCACTGCCTTGAAAAGTTTACTTCAAGACAATGAAATGACTTTAGAGAAAAAAATTACTAAAATGCTTATTTTATGGTAAAGGCTAATATTAGTGCACTGCCTAAGACGATTAACTAAACTGAGAGAAATATTGAGGCTTATATTTTGAAATTTTCAGTAAGCTTCATTTTAAAGGGCCACAGTAATCCCATGTGTAATAGTGGTTGGGTTAAACCAGTCATATAATGGCCAAAACAGCAATTACCTGTTGTGAAACATATGAAGGCTTTTATTATGTAGGGTATGTGATGCTCACATTTCAACAGTCCGTTGTGGCTGTCAGTTAAGGGTATCAGGATTCATGAGTCATATGGCACTTACTTCCTTTGCTCTTCTGCCATATTGTCTGTGTTAAGTGTTCGTCAGGTGCTATTTCTATATTTCTAAATGCCAGTTCTGCCCTCTGTAGTTACCTGTGTTCTGCCATCACTGTAGTTCTAAAGGGCAGCTTTAGGACACAGAGGGGGAGACAAAGTCTATTTTGAGTCTAACTGACACCAAACAGTGTCAGTTAGACTTTGTTTTCAGTTGAATTTGGCTTGTTTTTGTTAATTATGTTGCCACAGTTACTTGAAATGCCAACAAAAGTAATTGTTCCCCTCAAGCCGCATGTTTTGATTGTGTGGGGGCACGCAGCGGTCTGAGCTGCATTAACGGTAGTAGGAAGTGGCAGTTATTTTGAGCTGTAGAACAATTTGCGTTGCTTTGTTGTTTGTTTTAATAGCAACAACAACTAGAACATTTCTGAAGAAATTTAAACAGGGCCTGCCAAAGTGTGCCCGTCGGTTGCAACCCAGCCTTCTGATGCTAAACATTTGCATCAATGCTAAATTAGGCTAGCATTGATGCAAATGTGCTCAATAGCATGTGGAGAATCACAAGCATGTTGAGTGATGTGGACTTACTCTATTCAGTATGTTAGAGTTAGTGTGTAAGCTAAAATTAGCCAAAATGCTAATGTTTGCCTAAAACAATGTTTCTCCATCCTGGTCCTCAGGCCCCCTGTCCTCCATGTTTCAGGTGTTTCCCTTCTGCCACCTGGATTGTGTCTCTGGGTGATTAACAGGATCTGCAGCTCCTGATGGTCCTGCAGTCATTTGGATCAGCAGTTCTGGAACAGAGGCTCATCTAGAACATGCAGAGCAGGGGGGCTGAGGACCAGGGGGGAGAAACGCTGGTCTAAATGCTGTCAGTAGCATGTGGAGCATCACTAGCATGTTGTCTTACATTTATTTCCTCCATTCAGTACACTAAACCTGGCTAATAAATAAGAAAAATAGATAACTGTTTTTAGGGAAAAGGCAGTGCACAAGTGGGAGGCAATGAAATGCTAATGTTAGTGCTAATGTTAGTGCTAATGTTAGTGCTAATGTTAGTGCACTGCCTTGTTGCACAAGGCACTAACCTGAAACGGATAATAAAGGCTAATATTGGCTGTTTTTCTGTTTTGGCCTTCAGTCAAGGTCGGATCCAGGGAGTTCTGACCCAGGAACAGAAGGTCCCCGGTTCTGAGTTTGGTAACGGTTCTGCTGGTTGTGTTGTTGGTTCTGTTCCCGGTTCTGAGTTTGGTAACGGTTCTGCTGGTTGTGTTGTTGGTTCTGTTCCCGGTTCTGAGTTTGGTAACGGTTCTGCTGGTTGTGTTGTTGGTTCTGTTCCCGGTTCTGAGTTTGGTAACGGTTCTGCTGGTTGTGTTGCTGGTTGCTCTGTGTGCAGCTCTGCCAAGAGGATAAAGTGCATGGAGGAGGACGTTGACAGTCCCGGCGAGGAGTCCTACTACCCGGGTCCGGGTCGGTCTCCGGGGAATGGCGGCCAGGCCGGCAGCTGGCACGACGTGGAACCAGGTATGTTGTTGCCACGGAAACCCCTCCTGCTTCAATAACAGCATCTAAGCCACTAACACCATCAGCTGCAACCTGAAGCTGCTGCAGAGCCAATGCTGCTGCTGGGGACGGGGCTTGTAGCTGTCAGCTGTGTGTGTGTGTGTGTGTGTGTGTGTGTGCAGTCATCACCCTGGCTCAGAGAGACGCAGCCATCTTAATCTGTCTTCCTGCAGGTCAGAGGTCAGACGGGAAACACGTCAGTCTCTTGTTCGTCCCTCTACTGTCACTCTGAGTTATTAATAAACTACCAAATTATATTTATTGTAAAACATTTGCTTCAGGATATTTAATTCTAATATTGTATTGCATAAAATAAAAATTATTTTCAACTTATTTTTACGTTGTAATTTATTTAAATGGGCACTTTTACATATAATAAACATTGAAATAATTTTGAAATAAAAACTTTCAAAACATCAGAAAATAGAAAAATGAATGAATAAAAAGCATGTTGATAATTTCAGTCATACTGAAGGTGTTGTGTTTGTGGGAGGTGTCCAGGTGTCCACCCGTCTGTTTTCATGCTTTCTCTTCTTCTTCTTCCCGTTTGTTTGCGTCTTGCGGTGGAAGCTGGATATAAGCTACGCGGCTCTCTAGCTAGCTCGTTCATCTCTCGACAAGGTAAAGACGACAACACGGCGTTTCCTCCGTCTCCGTGTGTGTGACCCCGCCTCCTCTCCTCTGATGATGGACAGATAGATGTGGATGGTTTGTCTCTGTGTCGTCTGCTGGTTCCCCACCCACCTGTGCTCACCTGTCAGCATGCCGATGACATCATGGTGGCTGTTTATTGGTCGATGTGTTTGGACGGAGTGTGTGTTGAGGTGTGAATGTTTCCTTTAACACTTGTCACCTTTACCTGGTTCACCTGTAGAGCTGGACCGGTTCAGCCCAGTTCTGAGGTCCAACTGTTTCCGTGTGCTGCAGCGTTCCACTGATCAGGGATCGTCTTTACGATGCAGACCGGAAAAACGAAACAACTCGATTTACCAAACAATCATTTGGTGTTTTTAGTTTCTGGTCAGACATGATATGATGAGAAACAGAGACTGGATGGATGAACGGATGGATGGATGGATGGATGAACGGATGGATGATAGATGGATGATAGATGGATGATAGATGGATGGATGGATGAATGGATGGATGATGGATGGATGGATGATAGATGGATGGATGATTGATGGATGGATGATGGATGGATGATGGATGGATGATAGATGGATGATAGATGGATGATAGATGGATGATAGATGGATGGATGAATGGATGGATGATGGATGGATGGATGATAGATGGATGGATGATTGATGGATGGATGATGGATGGATGATGGATGGATGAATGGGCTAAACGAACCGTCTGGACTCTTCCTCTCTCCAAGCTCCGCCCCCTCCAGCTGTCTCATGCTTCCTGCATTGTGTGAGTTGTTTAATGACATCATTAAACAACTCACATCACAGTAGACAATGGGGTCTACTGTGATGTCATACTGTGATGTCATCAGTAGTCCCCGCCTACAGGCTCCTCATCTTCCTCATGGTTGTTGCCAGGAACGCCGGCCTCCATCTGCTCTCTGAAGCGCTCAGACAGGTGCAGCTCCTCTTTCTCCTCTTCCTCCTGCCCCAGAACGGCTGCCCCCCTCTATCACCGGCCCGTCAATACCGGGCCTCCAGGTGAGGTCAGAACCCGTCCAGAACCCCTTACTCCTCCTCCTCACCTGTATTCCACCTGGTTATTGCCTTGCTGGGCGGACAACATACCTGAAGCTAAGCACTCACCTGTTGGGCCGTCGTTTAGACTTAGCCCCTCCCACTGTCACAGTTAGCCCCTCCCATTGTCACAGTTAGCCCCTCCCACTGTCACAGTTAGCCCCTCCCACTGTCACCGTTAGCCCCTCCTGCTATTAAGCTCCAGCCTCCTCCTGACTTGACCTGATTGGTTGTTGATGAAAGGAGCTCATAGTTTGATTAAAGTTCCTGTGGAAGCAGGAGACATCCAACCATTTATCCAACCAAACATCCATCCATCCATCCATTTATCCAGCCAACCTCATCTTCCTCCTGAGGTTTCTCAGCAGGAGATCAAATCTTCTTCCTCTTTTCTTCAGGGTAACAAGGTACAGGTGGAGGTTCAGGTGGTGCTAACTGGAGCTTTGTTCTAATTGAGGCTGAGCTGATTGCATCTTCTTCACTGTAACCATGGTAACCCTCATAGTGACCCGGTTCCTGGTTCTGCTGCAGGTTTCTGGATCAGAAACAGGAGACCGGATATCTGGGTTATTCTGGATTCTTTCATGTTGGTTAGATTTTATAAACAAAAGAGAAACAAAATCAACTCTGAGGAAGAATCCAATCCAGATTAAAGAAAAGCTGTCCCAAAACAATCTGGTTCAGACCCGGTTCATCAGGTTTCTGAGAGGAGTCATCTCATTGGTCAGATGGATGTCATGTGACCAGATGAATCATCTCTGATGAGCAAAGAGAAACACACTGTAGTCTTTCCACTTTGTGTGTGTGTGTGTGTGTGTGTGTGTGTGTGTGTGTGTGTGCTCTCCCATCCATTCAGTGATTACTGTAAACACACACGCTGTGGATTGTCAGAATGATAAATCACAGACGACTTTAAGTGAATTAGTGCAGCAGCTCTACCTCTCCGTCCATCCATCCCTCCATCGCTCTCTCTCTCCCTCTCTCTCGCCCATCATTCTAAGCTCCTCCCCCTTCTCTTCTGAGTTTCATAGCTCACCGGCTCTAACGAGCCACAGTCACTAACGAGCAATCAGGGTCTTAATTAGAGCAGAGGAAGAGGAGGAGGAGGAAGGAGAGGAGGAAGGAGAGGAGGAAGGAGAGGAGGAGGTGTAAAGCAGATAAATGGAGGAACGTTTTGACTGACAGTTGCTGTGGGCGGGGCTTAATGCTGCACTCTCATTGGTCCATCTGCTCTGCCATGTCTATCTGATGGATTTTCATGTTGACCCCTCCTCCTCTCCACCCCCACTAACCTGTCCCCCCCCCCGTGCCCACAGCCAGCCCCCACGCCCCCCCCTCCGGCCTCCACTTCTCCTCCTCCCCCATCCTGCAGCAGCCCGCCTCCTACTTCTCCCACCCGGCCATCCGCTACCACCCACAGGAGACGCTCAAGGAGTTCGTCCAGCTGGTGTGTCCTGACTCCGCCCAGCAGGCCGGACAGGTGGGCCTCCTCACCGTAAGCGCACACACACACACACACACACACACACACACACACACACACACACACACACACAC